ACAGACTGAATGTGAACTGGCAGGTTTTGCACCAGGGTGAATGGTGAATGGTGAACAGTTCTCCAGGTCCTAGCAGCTCTGGGGGCATTGCCTTCCAGATAGACAGAGCCCAAACTGTTAAGACAGGACGATTCCCCTCACTGGGAGCTGGGCCTCTGCTGGGAGGGCAGTGTGGCACCGCCAGGATCGGTTTTAGGTCGACATTGTCCTCTGAGCCAGGTGGGACCTGAAACTCTCCCTGTGGTCTCAAACAAGTACAGAGCTGCCTACTGCAAGAAGCCAAGAGCTTGGCCTAGCCAAGGGCATCAGGCAGGCATCGGTCCAGGAAATCAGGACTCATGTGATACACATCCATTTCCTCTCTCTTACAGGCGCGCACACACACACATACACACACACACACACACAGTCCCCAGCCAGAAGACAAGACTATTCTTCAAACGTTTTGATGCTCATGCTAAGGGGGTTAGGAGGTACAGAAGTGCTGGATCTTGGAAAAGTGGTCTCTGGAGACCCCCATTTCCTAAAGACCTTCTCACCTCACCTTAGCTTAAGTCCCTTGGAGAGAACCACCTCACTGCTGGGCTTCCTGGTCCTGTTATGGGACAGCTGAACATTGCCCAGGAAGTAAGGAAGGTTGAGGCTGTTGTGAGACCCACTTTCCCAATGAGACTGATGCATGCGTAGGGCTTCTCCCAGAGCCAGTGTCTCCAGATGTCAGCAGCGAATTCTGTTCCCGGAAAAGGGAGACCCTCTTTCAGTCTTATCCTCATCTAATGACCGAGATGTAAGGAAGAAACACACCCTTTTCTAACCCTACTTGGGATTTAACGGTATGGTATTCCCTTTTTTTGCTCAACCTCGGTGTCTGCTGGCAACGGCCTCCCCTCAAGTCTCAGTCCAGGCAAGTAAGTGATTTGGAATTTATTGTAATGAAATCAAGAGATAACTTTACTTGAGCTAATTATGCAAACTTCTCTACATACACAAAGAATAAGTTTGGAGTAGAGAAGGGATGAATTTAGTTGTTTGGTTTCAGAGGATTTGAGAGAGAGAGCCTAGAGCCATAGATTAGCAAATATTACTAGTAAATCTGGATGCTTATTGGTAAGAAGATAAAGGAATTTCTAAGCCCAGGTGCACTGTTTAAAGAGCTAGAGATACTCTTCTGATTTGCATGTTTGTTTCCTTGTTGTTTGGACTGAGGAGGGAAAAAAGGAAGAAAGATGAAAAAGCTAAACATAAATGCTTTTTTTTTCCTAAATTGCAAGAGGAGATATCCCTGGAGATAGATATACATCAACCAGTTATTTAAACATGAAATGTAAAAGTGCATTTATATTTTTAGAAAAATCTTTCTTAAAATTGGACTCTTTCATGTAAGTGCAGTTCTCATAATGATAAACGGAATATTTCAGATGAAAGACAGGCCTTCAAATCCTATTTGCTACAGAACATTTATGTGATAGCAAGGCCTGAGCAAACATTCAGCTTCTATTGGCACTTGTTCTCCTAAGGAGAGAGAGAGGAGAGGAGAGAAGGGAGGAGGAGGAGGAGGAGAGAGGCCTCCCAATGTGAAGTCATCTCATTTGCATTCACATGTCTTCAGCATTATCATAGAGGTTACTCAGTAATATTGGAAACTAGATTGTGATGTCAGAAAAGACCCTTTTCAGAAAGCCAGAAAGTCAGTGTCCTGCTATAAATTGAGGAGAGTTTCTGCTGAAAGTAATTAACAGGGCACCTTAAAAGAGGTACCTGCTTCCTAGCTTTCTCATCATCATCGCCATTTAAGATTTAATTTTACTTTTTTAAAGAACAAACAAAATTACTTCTGGAAGAGACTGCTGAGAAGATTCCCCCTTCTTGGGCCAGAAGAACAGAGGAGACTGTAAATCGAGGAAAAGGTGAAGTATTAAATTGTGAGGACACTTTGGTATTTGAGTATATAAAGACTATTTCCTTTTCCTGTATCTATATGTTCTTGTTTTGTGGGGGAGAGAAAATTCTAAAAATATATGAGAGATGTTTTGCCATCAACACCAAAAGAGTGAGTGGAGGAAAGAAGGCGAGAGAGGAGGAGGTCAATTTTGTTTAATTAGTTTTTAAAAAGCAACATAAATCAAAGTGGTCTATTGATGTCAGTCTTTATAATGTCCTGAGAGTATAATGAATTTACTTATAGCATAAGTGATTTAATATTTTCAATCTCTGTTTTAACCTTTATTGGGAGAGGGTGGACTTTCAAAAGCCTAGCTAGTTTGAAACTTGGCTAAGTACCTTTGCTTTTTTAAAATTTCTCTTCTTTCTCTTTTATTGTGGAAGCAAATATTATCACTTTAATGTTAAACAACTTGCAAGTATTAAATGGCTCGTTGGTGATTTACTTTTTTTTTTTTACAGATTTCCCCCTTCAGATCTAAGGATTATATTAAGGCTCCTGTGTCTTTCTGGAAAGAATTTCATATAAATCAGAAAGTGTTAGAGGTTCAAAGGTTGACATTTTTTAGCCCTGTTACTTTGTTTTTTTCATGCCATGCAAACAGGTCTAACGTTTAGACATTCTTAAACTTTCAAGGGAAAATTGTGGAAATTCCCAGCGATTTTTTTTTAAGTGGGAGGACGCCAAGTTTTGTGTTGTGGGTTTTTTTTTTTTTTTTTTTTTTAAGCAAGAAGTTTAAAGTAATCAAATGAGAGAGCAGCTTCTGAGAAATACTGCCCCCCACCCCAAACCCAAACTAAGCAGCAAATGTTAATTGCTGGCTTGCAGTTAGGAAAGGGGGTGAAGGGACCGAGGTGAGCGAGGGTCGGTAAGAGGGCGCTATTTTGCCCACCCAGTGGCACATCTGTGGAGCACCAGCCTCACAGCCAGGCTTGATAGAGGTCAGGCTGCCTTAAGGATCTGAAATCTCTGTCACTCTTGCCTTCTAGAGAGCAATGAATCCTCCCAGTAGGGGTGTCTATCTAGAAGACAAACATCTCTTGAATGGTTCCCAACCGCCGATAGAGGAACCCTTGGGAGGGCATTCGCTGCCATCCTTCCCGGAGATGCTGCCCAGTTGCTCAGAGCAGTCTTGCTTCCCCACCCAATGGCTTTGGGAAGAACCCCCGGTTTTCCCTTCGCTTCTCCGCTTCTCCGCTACACTGCTAGCCTCGCCGCTTCTGCGGGCTGAAGAGGCCTTAGAATGAGCAACCAGGGACCCCCCCCCCGAGGGGGGGGGGAGATAAGGAGTGACAGAGTTGGTTATCAAAAAAAAAAAAGCGTGGGCTAGACGCCTGCTCGGCAGGCGAACGGGCCTGGCGCTCTCCAGGACATCTCCTCCGGGTGTTCGGAAGCGGGTGTCCCGTGCGCGCGGGCTTTCCTGGACGGGCTCCCAGTGTCCTCAGCTGTTCGGAGGCAGCACAGCGCGCAATCTCGACCTGCAGTCCGAAACCGTCTTTCCTCTTCTCAGCGGCGATCTCCCCCTCCCTAGCCAACTCTTCCCACTCAACTTGTCCCAGGAAGGGCCGGCCAGTAGGGCGCCCAAGTAGCGCTCCGAGCTTTCCAGGGCGGGGAGGGGGGGGGGAGAGGGGACGGGGGCTCTTTAAAGCCACAGGCCCACAGCCCCGCACCTCCCCAAGGAGGATCCCAGCCCCCCACCCCCTCCCCGACTGCTCGGCCTCCTCCGAGTCTGTCCGCCCCCGGCGGCCCCGGCAGCCGCGCGCGCGTCCAACCCGCCCCGGCGGCCGCGGCGCGCCGAGGTCAGTGGCTGCCCAGACCCATCCGCACACACACACCCTCGGGGACCTCGGCGGGTCGATCCTCCGGGCGGTCCGGGGCCGGCAGGGCGCGGAGGGGGAGAGCGAATCCGCCCACGCGCCCGCTCGCCCGACTTGGAGACGGCGCGGCGGGGCCGGCGCTCCGGGGTGGGGCTCGGCGGCGGAGCTCGGGGCAGCATCGGGGGCGGCGGACGGGCGGGAGGCGATCGGGCGGACGGGCGGCTCCTTTGCTTGCAGAGCATTCCCAGCCCAGGGCTCCCCTGCGCTCGCTCGCTCGCTCCTGCCAAGCGGGGCGCTCCGGCCGCCCGTCGCCACCCACCCCCGCCCCCGCGCGCCCTCCGCTCGCCCCGCGCGCGTTCCTAGGGCGCCACCTCTGTGCGACTCGCTCACTTCTCCGCAGGTTTTTGCCTCGGAGCGTGTGAACCTTCTCCCTCCCTCCGCCCGGCTCTCCCTCTGCTTCTGCACTAGCCTCCAACCTGCGCCGCCCGCTCGGCCAGCAGCACGCGTCCCCGCCCGCCCGCAGCGCCGGCCGCCTGCCGCCGCCCCTTTGCGCCGCTCTGAGCCCGCCCTCGCGGCCACCTGGCCCTCCTTCATCGACGACACACGCACTTGAAACTGGTTCTCAGGGGTGTGTGGCATCAGCTTTCCGGAAGCAAACCGGCCCACCCGAGGAGGCAGACAGACAGCTATGTGTATATATGTGGGGCTCCCTGCAAGTGGCTCTGGAACAGGACGGCTCTGGCCCGCGGAGAAGAAGCTGACTTCGTAGGAGAGAACTCGCTTCTCTGTGTAGGAGGGGTTCGCCCCGCTCCAGGCACCCGGGAGGAGCGCCGCCGGCCAGATTAATGAGACATTGCTATGGGAGACCTGTAAACACTCTCTCGCTGCTCATCCCTGATGCCTGTGTAGAACTATTTCATTTTTGGGTATTATTTCAGAGGAAGCGCCTCTGATTTTTTTTTTTTAACCCTCCTTTTTGGTCCCTTTCTGCCTGTGTGGTTTGGCAAAAGCGCAGTTGGAGTAGCTGATTCCTAACTAAGTAAGTGCTGAGAGGCTTTAGAGAAAGTTTCTTTTCTTTTCTTTTTTCTTTGCAATTGGGAGATGTCCTTGATGTGGAAGAGGCTGTTTGAGATCCAGCGAAAAGGGGGAGCGGGGTAGTTGGGGCGATGGAGATTCTGGATTGACACTTCAAACCCTTCTCGCTCAGTCGCAGGTCCCGCCAGCCCAGCCGAGAGGAGACGATGCTGCGGAGGCTGGTACAGCAGTGGAGCGTCGTCGCGGTGTTCCTGCTGAGCTATTCGGTGCCCTCCTGCGGGCGCTCAGTGGAGGAGCTCGGCCGCCGGCTGTAAGTGCCCGTCCTCCCCAGGGCGCCGGGATCGAGGGCTGGAGAGGCCAGGGAAGAGGCCGCTGGGCTGGGGCGCTGCCTGGCAGGGATGCTCCTCGCCCGCCCAAGTTAGCTAGAGAGCAGGGAGCACCGGCTACCTGCTGGGGGCTGAGCCCTGGTCCTCAACCCCAGCGGGAGACCGGGGTACCTCCAGGAAAGATAGGCAAGAGACAAATAATATGTGAGTTTCCATAAGAGGGAGCGGGTTTTGGGGGGTTTGTTTGTTTGTTTGTTTGTTTGTTTGTTTTTTAATAGAATCTCCTCTGAGCAAAGATTATCTGCCTCTAGTGAAAGAAAAAATAAAAGTTGCTTTCAGGACCTGGGAAGGGTTTGAAACCCTGAGGCATCCAAGAGGAAGCCTAGGGATCCAGGGGAGCACATATGTCTATGTGCACCTCCGTGTCCATACTGAATGTGGGTGGCAATTGGTGCGTTAATAGCAAAAACTTTGCATCTGCTTTTATAATGAATGACATAATTTCAAGCATATAAAACGGGACCACATTACATAAGGAAGGCATATTATATAAGAAAGCAGTAACAACTTTTCAATGGCCCAGTTCCAGCTTTAGTATTGATATCGTTCAGCAATGCTAGAGTTGCTTGATACCAAATGAGTATTAGGTATGGGGAATTTTTTTTCGGGGAAATGATGGCTAACTGTTCTTTAACCTGGAGCTCCAGGTCGATGGGTATTGCACTGGAGACTGAAAACTTGTATTTTGGCATTTTCATTTGGTGATCACTTTAAGGATAGTTTTGACTTTAAAATAATCATCCATCTGTGTACACCAGATGAATATCTCTATGTTGTCTGGCTGAAAAGATGGAAGCGTGGTAGAGTGATACTATCTTTGTCATCTATTGGACCTCGCTGTTCATTAATGTGTGTAACACTGTCTTTGGGTATCTGTATACTACAGACTCGGTGTTCAGGATGAGAAACCCATGAAGTTTGAGAACTGAGACGTGTTTGCCTCTGGAGAAGGAATTAAGGGGAACTTTTGCACTAACAGTGAAAAATAGCAATATCTGATATTTACAATCGAGTTCCCGGTGCTTCCTTGTGAATTCCCAAAAGGGTACAAACGCAACAGTTTTACGCAGGCCCTTGGTCTATTATCACGAGAGCAGAAAAATCCTTAAATGAAATTACTGTAGACATGTCTGAACTTTGGCACCAAAATGAAAATCTATTATGAACTTCCTAAGTCAAATTGTGTAGAACATTGTACTGCAGATAAAGCTGCATTGTATTCTTCAAATCAATGTTTTGTGGATGTATTTCTGAAAATTATCTTCCAGCTTTTTGCTCATTTTGAGACTTGTATTAAGTTCTGTTATTTAAGATCCATATATAAATATAGATGAAGAATGATTTTTGAAGAGGAATTTTTAAAAAGCACACTTAAATACTGTATTTATTTGGCCAAGAAATACTGTGTTGGAAGCCAGCCAACTTTTCTTTAAAGTTGTTTAAGAAATACCTGTTTTCTTTTTTGAGAAACAGTAAATGGACCATGATTAAATCCACAGTTATGGCATTAAAATAGTGCTAATTGTCCTACAGGCTATTTTTAACTCTTTTTGTTGTTGTTGCACCTTGCAAAATACACATTTAAAAACCCCATTTAGCAGCCAAAGACTCTTGTTATAGTTTTGTTTGTGGGTGAAATATAATATTGTAGTCAAACACTCACACTCAGCAGATGGTTATAAAACTACCACAGAACATTCTTATAATTAATGGCTAATAGATCATCACATTACAGCCATGTTTTTTCATGGAGACTGAAATCATCAGTAGAGGAAGATGCTTCATCCAATTATTATAGCCAAATGGAGTTTAAAAAACAAGTCTTTATTTGGCATTGCTGCCAAGTAACAATAAAACAAAACATTAGTCTTCTAGTGTGCTAAATAAGCCTAGTTTCTTGAAAGAAATTTTAACATAGGACCAAACCATGTTACTTCCTAGTTGCTTTTCACGCCAAGTATCAGGGAAATCGCAGTGGATGGTTTTCTAACGGAGGAGGTTAACTTTTAAAGGAGAGGAAACTACTGCTGCACCAATAGCACTATCTGCTGAGCCGTGCAAAAAAGGCAGCATAGGTCTGTGAAACGTTTGGGACTGTGAATCCAAAAGACTTTCATTAGTGAAGCTAGAGCATGGATAGATTGGAGGCTTGACGTCAGGTCTCTAGGTGTTACTGTCCAGATGAATATGGCTTGCAGCAGGTGGCAACCTTTGTGTTTAAGTTAGAGGTGGAACCCCAACAGATTCAGAAATCTAAAACATCATTGGCTGATCTGCTGGGGAGCCAGACTGGGTCCCTTCCATTTAATGAAAAGCATGACTTTGGACTGAGTCATTTGGGTTGGAAGGGACTTCTGGTGAGTCATCTTCACTCGAACACCCTAACCCTGACTCTCCCTTGTACCACAGAACTTTTCTTCTCAAACTCAGACTCCTTCTTCAGGAGCCTAGCACGGGCACACGCTGCTGCCTGCTCTGCTGAAAGAGGAATTCCCATCGCTCTGTTTAGTCCCCGAGTTCCTTGATGATTCTTTAGAAATTTAATCTTCCCTGAAAACTCCCTTGAGGGTGATATTTCTTTAAAACAGTTGTATTTTGACTGAATTGAGAGTTATCCAAGTTAAGCATTCCCCCCACATTTTTACAATTGTTTTTTCTTACAATAAGCAAAGGAGACCATGAATATAACATACTTGTTTTCCCATGTTGGAGCTCAGGTATGTAATAAGTTCTGTGTGAACCGCTGTGCTATGTAATGCTTACAGGCATATTGAGTAGCAGACTATTATAGAGGCCATATTTACAACTTCAATATTTCAGAATCATCTAAATTGAAATCCTCCTTAATTTGAATGCACTACTTATTACTTATGTATATCTGGTTTGTACAGACTAGTCCTTATCCTTGTATCAGTTTCTATCTTGTTTTGAAAATAAATAGAACATTCTATGGACCTTATTTCTTACTAAGGAATAAAGATACTATTATAATCCTGATCCTCTAATGCACTTGCCCAGTTAGAAATTAATTCTTCACATGTGTTTAAGTACAGAAATCTTTGAACCACTATGTAAATTCTGTAACAGCATTTCAGATTTGGCATTGAAGAAAATCTGACTTTTTCTAATATATTAGCAATCACCCCTAACAGGCAGAAAGAAGTTTTGTGCCTCACAAGAGATGTTCTGTTTTAAATGGGACAAAATTATGCCATATTGTAGGCTTTTTCTGAGAGAGAAGGGCAGAATGATCCCTCCTTTTCTCATGAGAACCATCCTGGGAAAGTGCAGGACTTGAATTAGGAGGGCACAGTGACTCACAGTGACAGGCTGGCCAAGATGACAGGCATATATGCCAGTCACAGGGGGCATGAGCAATGTGGCTTGATTAGATCAGGCCAACCATTAAAAGTTTTGGCTTCAGGTTACGCTAGAATGGGTTATATTATACTTTTGGAGAGCAATATAGATGGGGTGGATATCTGCCAGGAATCAAGAAAGAAAAAAAATCTCTAAATATTATAAAGGAAAGTTGGTTAAGAAATTTTTAATGTGACATTTTGCTAAAAGATGCTTATTAAACTGCAATGCTTACGAAATATACAATTACATCAGTCCTATTCTCTAAAAAAAAAATATGTTATTAGAGGATATGAATATATTGTACCAAAGCTTCAAATTTGTAGATTATTAAAAGTTTCCAGAATACTAACTATTGCCACAAAGTAAGTGAATTTTAATCTAGTCACATGTGGCACCTTCAATGAGGAAGAGAGACTCCTTCATGCCTCATTTAAACCAGGCTCCTGTTAAATTCCTTTCCATTAAGTCATGGCTTTTTTTTTTTTTTGAATAAGCTTCATGGCTTAAAGTCAGTCCAAGCACTAAATACTAAAAGGAAGCTGGCATTCTAGCTAGAAGGTCCAGAGAAATAATGAATGTTTTCTCCTAGTTTACCCTTCTTTGATTCACAGTGTAACTAGACAATCTCTCATTCCCGTAGTGAAAATCCAAACTCTAGGCATCCCAGTTCTTTATTTTGGTGATGGAAATTGATGTCTTGGGGTAATAAGCTTGGTCTTCAAGGAAAGTGCTACACTGCTGTCCACTTGCCTATTGTCATGGTTCCCACCACAGGCTTTTCACTCCTTGCCTTTTTCTTTCTTGTTTTCTCAACATACATGTCAGCGTCAGCAGGACAAAGGGCTGAGGAAGGTAAAAAGCAATGTTGGTTGTGAATCCAAGAACTCATTGGTGGGGCCCTGGCTCTGCCTGGTTTCACTGTGTGGGCAAAGGTGGGGCACTTTTCTCTCTCTGAACCTCACCTTCCCATCTGTAAAAAGTAGGATAGTGATGTTTGTTATTGTCATATTTCTTTTAGGAGGTAAAGAAGCTTGTACTAGTGAAAGCTATAAGGGACTAGATGCCACTGTGTCTGGAGAGTAAGGGTACACGGGAGGTAGCCCTGTGAAATACCCTCAGAAACCTTTGGAAATGAACCACTTTGGCCAGAGGTTTATTTCAGTGGCAAAAATAGGCAGAGTGGAAGCTGGCATAATATGACTGATTAATGTATGTCATCCTTAAATATTCATGGGTGGACGGTGAAGCAAAAGCCAGGGTGTCATCTAAAAGGATTGATGATGGCAAATTAGTTTATTCTTTTTCACTATATTTTTATGAGATTGTTGGTTAAATAGAAAAATCACATCATATATGTTTGAGGAGACACTTTTAAGAAAAAGAACAAGTAAAAAAAAAAGTGAATTTCTTAACTAAGTACTAAGGATAACACCCTCTGAAATCCTTAATTAAAAAAAAAAAAGATGCACAGAAAAAATAAAATGATCTCACTTAATTTAAACACACAAAGAAATCCATTTTAAAGAGACCACCCAGTACTTTCCAGAAAATTATGCATGCTTTCTCTGACAGTTAGCCTTCACATATAGGTTCTTGGTAGTCTGTAGTCTAACATGTTAAAGTTCAGCCTGTTAGGCAGTTTCCTAGACAGGCTTCACTGCTCACTTTATCCTTCAGTCTTTGTTTGCTTTTGCTCTTACAGCTCGCTGTTCTTTGAGATTCAGTATGATTATTTTCTTAATGGGGGAGCAATGTGTGTGTGTGTGTGTGTGTGTGTGTGTGTGTGTGTGTGTGTGTATACGCGCGCACGCGCGCACACGCACACACACTCCTGTGCATGTGTGTGGATACACACACACACACACACACACACACACACACACACACACCTGAGGCAAGGACTCAGGTAAAAATCAGCCTCATTTTTTATTTCCCAGACTAGGACTTCTGCATTTATTTCCCCACCACGACTGGAAAATGTATAAGCAGTTCAGTGGTTTCTGTCCATTTCTGAGAATAACTGAATCATATTTAAATAGAGCAGGTAGCACAGAGATCACTGAATCTGACCCCTTCTTTTTAAATAGAGGGGACCAGGAGGTCCAAGAATGTTTGCTTTCTCACCAAATTTACAGACCTGGTATAAGCTGCAGAGCTGGTACTCTGAGCCACCGCTGCTGCCTGCCCTTCCACTCTGGCCCCTTCCCTGCTGCAGAGCTTGCTCCTCTTGCAGCTTGTGTCCTATATGGGAGCAGCTGAAAATCTAAAGGTCATTCCTCCTTCCTGTGTGGTTTCTACCAACAACTATCGTTTCACTGCTTCCTTTCTCTCCTGCTTTTTTTCCCCCTTAAAGCAAAAGAGCCGTGTCTGAACATCAGCTCCTCCATGACAAGGGGAAGTCCATCCAAGACTTACGGCGACGATTCTTCCTTCACAACCTGATTGCAGAGATCCACACAGCTGAAATCAGAACTACCTCGGAGGTTTCCCCCAACTCCAAGCCTGCCCCCAACACAAAGAACCATCCTGTCCGATTTGGGTCTGACGATGAGGGCAGATACCTGACTCAGGAAACCAACAAGGTGGAGACGTACAAAGAGCAGCCCCTGAAGACAACTGGCAAGAAGAAGAAAGGCAAGCCTGGGAAACGCAAGGAGCAGGAAAAGAAGAAGCGGCGGACTCGATCAGCCTGGCTAAATGCCAGTGTGGCTGGCAGTGGGCTGGAAGGGGACCACCTGTCTGACATCTCCGGGACTTCGCTGGAGCTCACTTTCCGGTAGGTAACTGGCTCCCTGGCCCAGAGCCTCTCCTTTGTGCTCTCAGCAGAGGGTGTGGCTTCCCTCTGCCTTGGTCTGGACAAACCTTTCTGTCCTCCTCCAACCCCCTCAACCCCCCCGACCCCTCGACCCCCATCAATTCCTCAACAATGTAAACCTTGCAAAACCAAGATGACCCAGAATATTGTCTGACTTCAAGCAGTGTCCTCCTGCCCCCATAACATGGGGCTTTCATAACCCATTTCATCTCACTCTCCAACACCAATATTTTAGTACTCCACTAAATAACTTCATTTCTTACTCAAGCTTCCAAAGCCAAGGCTTATCTTCATTATTTGCTAGAGAAGTGTATTTTCCCCACTCTCACACCTTAACAAACTTTCTTGATCATTTTTCATTTCTTACTTTTTTTTTTTTTTCTCACTTCAGGGAAGGACATAGAAGGCTTTGATTTGCCCCCAAAACTATAGAACAATATCTTACCATAAATAATTCTGAGACATTCACATTTTTATTTAAGTTATGTAATTAAATTTTATATTTACTTAAATAAAAATTCAAACATACACTTTAAATTTATTTAATTAAATTTAACTCTGGTTTCTACCAGTTTACAAGAAAAAAACAAACAAACATGATTTCTGAACATTTTTACGTATTGGCTTGGGAAGGATATGTTTTTCTCATGTATCTATTTGTCCACTGGCAAGTTGAGAAAGTTTTCTAGGCTATTGCAATAAGATTAATAAAATTTCATGTCTATGTGGCTGGTTTATCCTCAGCTCATAGCTGCAGGTAGTAATGACATTCACGGACTTTGGAGCTACATACCTTAGCTTTAAATTTGGGGTCTAAACGTTAGAGTTCACAACCTTGGACAAGTTAGTTAGTCTTTCTAAGACTCATTCTCCTCTTCTCTGAAATGAAGATAGTAATTGTACCAACCTCTTTGGGCTGGGTAAAGATTAAATGAGGTTACATGGGTTAACTGCCTATCATAGAGTAAGCAATAAGTTGCAACTTGTTGTTTTGGCACTTTTAGGCATGGTTCTGATTATCCACTCAATCTATCTGTATTAGTGTGTGTGTTTCTGTGAGGTAAAAAAAGGGGGGGCAGTATTAATTGCATTTTATAACCTAGAAAACCAAGGCACTCCCCAGTGAAGGACCTGCGCAGTACTAGGAACTGGGATAGGTAGTCCTCAGCACTGGATTTATTTCCCCAATTCCTGGCACTTGGGCCAGTGCTGTTAGTGCTGCCCCTTGACCTATGCATTTCCACTGATAGGAGCTGTTTTTTTTACTTTTCACTACACACTTCTATGGGGTTTGAAAGAAAGAAGAAAACACACAAATGCGTCCTATGCAGCTAATCTCATTATTTAAGGTCTCCTGTTCCTTCTCCAGTTCTTTCCTCTGACTAGAGATAGGACCATGGAGTGATGTTTCAAAGGGGTGTTTGAACCTATTTCCCATCACGTCTCTAAGTGGAGAAAACCCAGAATTAAATAGCCTATAAAATGATAACTATATTGGATTAATAGTACAGCTTCAGTAATCAATGGGCAGTGGCACTAGTAAAATCTTTAGCACCGTGAAAGACCTATTCAGCCAGTGTCTAATGGATCTGTAAGGGGTAACAGGCCTTATACATGTTATACATGTTGGCTCAATGCAGATATTCAGTGTACTTTAAAATATGATCCTAACTGCACTTATTTATAACTAACGGAAGGCCTCTATTGCCAGAACCTATTTTCACCCATTATCTTACTCTGTGTGTGTGCGTGCGCGTGTGTGTGCATGTGTGTGTATTTTAAAAACAGAAGTATACATACTTTTTTATGGTTTTTATACGTTTACAATTTGCAGTGCTCTTAAGTATCCAGAGAATTAATGAAAATCAGCACTCTTCAATTCTTATTCCAAAGTTATCCTTATGTTAAAGTAGAGCTAGTAAAAATTAGGCAGTGGCCTAATTAAATCCAGACTTAGGACTGAAAGAAATAGAATGTTTCTGCTTCTCCTTTCTACTCCCTGGTTGTGAGGAACGTTCATGGAAAGCACTGTTTGTTTGGCAGCCAGATGTTGGCACTCTCCCAAGACAACCCAACAGAGGTGCAGGGAAGAGTGGGGAGATTTAGCAGTGTGTTGATGAGAACATCTGGGGCCATGTAAATTTTATAGTACAAATAGAATCTTTTCAGAATAACTATGTTTTTAAGTTTTATAAGCAACTAAATGTTTATTATTATCCTCTCTTTAGTTTCTGTGTTATTATATGTTCATCTGAGAGGTCTGACATGGAAAGAGATGAACTTTATTATAATACCTATCTTAGTTGTTAATAGAAATTGCTGAGCTAAAACTGTCTGGTTTTTCTTCATGGACCACTCCGTGGGAAATATATAGCTTTAAACTTAAGAAATTTTGATGTTGCAAATGAGATGTCCAGATTCACAAGGACTCATTTCATTGAGAACATATATTTTGCCTTGGTATATATAGGTTTAGAAATAATATAAAAGCTTTCAGTATTCAAAAGACCTAGGACTCTAAAGCATCACACATGTATAATAAACATACACATATATTTCTAGGTCATCTTATATGTTTTTCTTGGCAATTCTAATACATGTTTTTATTAAAAGGAAATCAAAAGGAAGGATAGCAAGCAAACTGGGCAGTGTAAAATATATTAAATGATCTTTCCTTTGGCCCTTAAATTTTCTTTTTTCTTTATTTCTAAGAAAATAATTGTTCAAAATGCTATTCATTCCATCCTTGCTTGTGCTATTTTATACTTTTTAATCAATTGATTCTTATTAGCTAATTTAAAATAGGCTTTCCAAATTTTCAATGTGAGATCCATTCAAAAAAACAGCGAAATAATAAACGAACCTATTTTAATTTGGCTTCAAAAATTAAAATCCATTCATTAGTGTTTAAGAACAGTTAAGAAAATGATAGATGTCATCAAATCATTAACCAAACATACTCTGCTTAATTATGCATTTCTCCAACATATACCCCAGTCATGCACTTTTGATTACCCTCACAACAGCCCTTTATCTTAGCAAGAGATTGGCCAAGTGAGAGCCTGGAAAAATAAGACACCAATAGATCACCTCCATCAGCTATCACTGCAGAATAAATTTCTAAGTATGATGGATTGCACAACCTAGCCTTATTTCCAGAGTCTCAAGTCTGTGCCTTCCCTTCCCAAACTTGCCAATTGTTAGCCTTGGAAAATCTCACAGGGCCTCCTTTTTCTGACAGAGTATACTTAGAAATGCAAGCCTTTTTCTTCTGCGTTGCATTGACCATTTGGATGGCTTAGTGACTGTGGAAGAGGTTTTAGAGAGTCAGATGGATCCCCAGTCACCTCTTGTAAGAGATATTTACAAAGAGTCCCTAGATCTATTTCTATGTGATACTATGTTCCTTAATTTATACTGTTTATTTTGACTCTTCATTTGTAAGGATAATTAACTTATTTTCCCTTTTTCTTTTCCTTCCTTCTCTTTTCAGGAGGCATTGAAACTTTTGTAAAGACCTTCAGAAGACATATTGCAGCATTCTGTAATAGTGAACATATGGAAAGTATTAGAAATATTTATTGTCTGTAAATACTGTAAATGCATTGGAATAAAACTGTCTCCCTCATTGCTCTATGAAACTGCACATTGGTCATTGTGAATATTTTTTCCAAGGCTAATCCAATTGTTATTATCACATTTACCATAATTTATTTTGTCAACTGATGTATTTATTTTGTAAATGTATCTTGGTGCTGCTGAATTTCTATATTTTTTGTAACATAATGCACTTTAGATATACATATCAAGTATGTTGATAAATGACACAATAAAGTGTCTCTATTTTGTGGTTGATCTTCATGAATTCCTAAATATAATTATCCAAACTGATTTTCTTCTGTGCATGTAAAAATAGCAGTCTTTCAAATTTGTAAATAATGTCTAATAAAATATAATCTAAATTACATCACGACTCAGAAGGTGAATTATGTCCTGCAAGATTTCTAATAGAAGGACACAAAGTAATTTTTACACAGTGTTTGATATGGCCTTAAGTTTAATATATTTATATTAGTACATAGTCCAACATTTTCACATTAGCTTTAAGTTTAAAATACTTAAAATGTAGTTCATCCAAAATTTAAGTTCAATTCAATAGAATAGCTGAACTACCTAGATGTCATTTCATGAAGTACGTCCAATTTGAAGTGAAGACGGGAGAGGGCAGAAAAAAACAAAACAAAACAGAGAGAAGTCAGGAGAAAAGATTAATGACACATAATCCAGAGAGTCAGCCAGAGCTGGAAAAAAGGGGGCCAGAGGAGAGAAACAGATCAGGAACCTTAAGGACAGGGTAATTTTAACCAGTGCAAAGTTTGATTTATGAGAGCTTGTTCTTATTGGTAACAATTACAAGCGCAAGAGAGCTATTTGAGCATTCTATCTATTAATGTTTCTAACCAGAGAAAGGACAGAGATTTATGTTTGGGAGATACGTGACAAATCAAAAGGCCTTCACTGTGAAGATTGCTTTCCTGTTCTTCCACGGTTGCAAACCACATGGGCGGAACATCACATGCAATCCCTTTTCCATTCTGAGTATCATCCTACTTGTTCCTACCGTGTTTCCCCGAAAATAAGACATTCTCCGAAAATAAGACCTAGTGCATGGAAAGATAAGACATCCCCTGAAAATAGACCTAGCGCAACTTTGGGAGAAAAAATTAATATAAGACACTGTCTTATTTTGGGGGAAACAGGGTACCTCTATGTTCAGATGAAAACACAGACATCTGTGCTTGTACAGAATATTTTTTCTGTAAAGGCTCGCAAAATCTTTTGGTCTGACCCTGCCAAGGCATTAGAGGTGAGTTAATTAAATGTTTGACCAAAGAAGGCAGACTAATTTTTAAGTTAATAATTTTGTATGGCCTGCAAATGATGTTGTAAATATCCAAATGGCCCTTGGCAGAGGGAGGAAAAAAAGGTCCCCCACCTCTGTATACAGCTTAGGACACATCAGAAAAGCAGAACACAACAAAACAAAAAGTGTAGGAATCAAGCAAGCACATGTTCAGGAAACATTCTGTTTATGCCGAATATTCTGGTAGATATAAGGTGTTTGGGGAGGCACAAGAAGTCTCAAATACTATAACTGCCCTCAATACTCTCTCATTCCAGGGAGCAGTTTACAGATTCCTATACATGAAACAACTGAACACTGTAGTCAAGAAACTATTGAAATGATACAAAAATCTATGAACATTTTAAAAAGGAAAAAATAATGGGGAGATTTGTCTGAGCTGGATGTGAGAAGGATAATGTTTCGGGAAGGAGTATCCTAACATTGAACTTACTCATATTTTTATTCGAGTCTCATAGCTTTCAAAACAGGACCCATCTTACTATGAATTTTGAACCTATGTTAGCAATAGATCTGAGAATTTGTGCTTAGCTTAGCTTATGAATTTGTTGGATATGGGTTTTACACCTAAGAAATACTCAGAAGTTTAATGCCAATACACCAAATCCATATAAAGTAACTAGTCTGAAGTGTCTTAAAAACAGATATAACCACGTTTCACCAAACCCCACCTTAAATTCTAAATCTTGAGATTGCACCAAATTCTTATAAGCTGGTCACATGAAAAATATGTTTTTTTAAACTCTAGTTTAGTAAATACTTAGACATTAAATCAAGGAAGCACCAGATTAAAGTCATCTTCTAAGGTTTTCTTTCACAAATAGCCCATTCCTGAAAAGAAAAGGGGGAAGAGGGAATGTAGGGACTTATAGTTACCAATTCTCACCAAAGCATTATTCATGCAATTATTGCGTTTAATCACACCCTAGGTCTCTAGCAATGATAAGCACCAAAATCATAGGATGAAGGATGGATTGAAAAGATAAAGGAAGCAAAAGAATTTTGAAACAAAAATGGTCATTTTTTTATGACCTTGTCCTTTTCTATGAAAGAAAAATGGAAATTCATGACTTAAGATGAGTGTTTCAATGTAACTAAACTAAAAAATCACAGTCTAAGTGAATATGGTTCCTCTCTTACTTTAGTAATGTTTATGAAACATAAAAGCAAATTGGACTAAGTATTATGGAATTAAGAAAATAAAATACAACCTGCTAACTTTATATTACCTTCCTCAAATTGTATTCAGGCAGAAGTTTGGTATTTCATTAGGTACCAAATATATTTAAGGACACTGTGGATTCCGACTCCCAAAATAAGTAGTGAAACTTAAATGTGAAAACCCCATGTCTTTCTTCTGTATGTTCTTAGCCATCAGTATAAAACATGCAATCTAAAGCACTAGGCCTATAGTGCAGTTGACATATTCAGAGCTACATGAAGATATGAACCAAGATCAGTGTTGATATTATTGTTCCTGAAAATAGTTAAAGTCAATTTTGGCATCTCCCTTCCTTGTTACAAAAATTAGTTTGGAATGCAGGCAGCAACAAAGAAATGTGGAGAAACTGAAGCGCTTTTTTGCAGAAAGCATAAATGTATACCTTGATGGTTAAGAACTCAGTTTTAATTTTCCATTAACTATTCTGAGTACTGGTTGAACAAAGCAGCTATTAAACTTTCTGTATCTACTATACAAGTACCAACGAGAATCAGTCTTTATAAAACCAAAAAGCTCTTCCTGATAACACTATATACTGAACCTCAAAGGGAACAAAGTCAAGTACTACTTCAGTTTTATCTTACAGTCAATTCATTAAATAATGAAATATGGTTAAACAGATTGCATGTGCTTAAACATAGTCAATGAGTTTTGTAAGACATTCTGAAACATTATCACAAGGTATTAACTTTAGAATAATCTAAAGTTTAATTCCAGAGTATCTTATATCGATAGTATTTTTCCCTATGCCACAAATTTCATGAAAAAACAGAACCAGCTGTTGACAGAAATAATATGTTGAATCTCAGAGGGCTTATCTTCCATAAACAGAGTATACTTTATTTTTTAACACAGTATATTTTTTATAAAGATTTTTTATTGTTCTTTTAGAGACACTGGAAGAAAGAGAAATATTGATCGTGCCTCCTGCATGCCCCCTTTTGGGATGGAGCCTGAAACCTGAGTATGTGCCCTGACCAGGAATCTAACCAGCAACCTTTTGATGTATGGGATGATGCTCAGCCCACTGAACCACACTGGCCAGGGCCAACAGGATACACTTTTATTGAGAATTCTAAGGATGTTCTCAGCAGAGCGATCATCCTCAATTAAGGGTCAAAAACATTCAAAGCACTTCCCTTTACTTAATAACCTAAAAGGTGTTAAGAACAAGATTCTTATCAAAGATTCCATTGTATAGTTAGCAAAACACTGCCATGAGGTAAGTTACTCTTAAGGAATCTCTATGGAACATTTCAGGTAGCTACTAAGATTCCAAAGTCTAAAAGTATTACTTCAATTAATTATATTATCGTGTGTCCTGGGGTTGGCTCCTTAAAAATAGTACTATTCCTTCCAAGCTGCCCATGTTATTTCCCTAATTGTTTTGTGAACTGCTTGAGAGCAGGAACCTTGTCTTATTTAATACTAGAGGCTCAGTGCAGGAAATATGTGCATTTGGGGTGGGGGTGAGGGGTGTCCCTCAGCCTGGCCTGCACCCTCTCACAAAGCAGGACCCTTCTGGGGATGTCTGCCTGCTGTCTTAGGGCATAGGTTGGCACTCCAACATCCCTCTAGTAGTTTGGGACCCCTCACTCCTTATTGCTCATCTGCAGCAGAGGCAGGACTGCACTCACCAGCCATGACCACCATGGGGCAGCTCCTGCATTGAGCATCTGCTCCCTGGTGGTCAGTGCACATCATAGCGACCGGTCATTCAGCCATTTGGTTGATTTGCATATTAGCCTTTTATTATATAGGATTTACCATCCAGCACTAGATAACAGCATTAGTACATAGCAGGTGCTCACTAAATACTATTGAACTGAACTTAAAGGCTCTCTCTCTGTTTCTGATGAATCCACTGAAAGGCAGAGTTGAACAAAAAGTCTGCCAGAGGTGTTGAGTATTTTAGACTCCCATGCAAGGCCATTCTCTTCATCCAAGAAGCTTGGAAAACAACTGCTCCAAGTTATCTAAACCGTCACCAGAGGGTCCTTTGTGTTTGGGCCCCTGGGTTAATGGGCATGTTTCCAGCCTTGTAAGTACAAGAAGCAAGGGTTTGTGCTGAATATGCAGCAGCCTCTCAGAGGAAGGGAGGAGAATTTAAAATATCAGATTTTCTTCCTATGAATACACTGCACAGAAGTTGCCCACAGGGCCCAGTTGTGCAAAAGAGGCACACTGCGATTTTGTCAGAAGATTAATGTACACAGTTCCCAACTAGAGTTCTCCAACATCAGGATGAGAACATTCACATCTCTGTGTAACTTCCTGATATTCTCATATTTGCAAGGGCAAAGCACAAGGGATATGTCTTCACACTGCTTTTCAATTAAATTTCAAAACACCTCCTA